AAAAAAAAAAAAAAAAAAAAAAAAAAGACTGGATACAGTAATTTTTCTCTACTTTTGTAAGTTGTGAATCTAGAAACATAACTTCATAAATAACTATAATTTCCCCTACATGATGATAAAACTTTCAAAAGCATTAAATCAAATGACAAATGAACCCGTGTGACATGCACTGTTAACTGAACACAGAGGAAGTGCAATCGCAAGGCTAGGTTTCACTCAGTTTTGTTGTTCAAAAGCAAGTTATGTACATTTGCTACCTGTATTGTTTCATAATTTCTAATGTAGAATATAATTTTAGTTTAATTCACCTAATAAATGTTTGAGCATAATATGTCAGCCTTGCTACGTCTATTCAGTTTAGTTAATCAGGTTGAATTATTTAATTGGTCATGTAAAGACAGTATAAACATATAAAAATTTTAAATTATGAAATTTATCACTTCTACCTACTCATTTATTAATCTTGTCAAATAGTTACTGACCACTTAGTGTTTTGGTTAAAGAGATTTTTTGGGGGCCAGGGAGATGTCTCAGTAGAAAAATGTTTGCCTGGCATGTACAAGGGCCTGAGTTCAATCCCCAGTTCTGCAAAGAGAGAGAGACTGAGAGCGAGAGCGAGAGCGAGAGCAAGAGCGAGAGAGAGAGAGAGAGAGATTGATTTAAAAATTTTATATCGAGGTAGTACGATGTCATAAGCAGTGTGCCGGCATCAAGCCGGTTAACACACAGAGCGCTGACATTGACACCAGCCTGCGACATGCAGTCATTTAGCCATATGTATTTTCTCTAACCCACAATTACTCCTAAATTTCCGGCAACCATATATGTCATCTTATTTTGTCATTTCCAGAATGCTTTCGAAATGCAATCATGTAGTATGTAAACTTCCTGGACTGGGATTTGCCCTTACCAGAATTATCTCTTGACTTCTCCAGGATGTCACGTGTATCAGTAATGTACTGGTTTTCAGTGCTAAAGAGTATTCCCTCCATGGATATGCCACAGTTTAATCATTCATCCACTGAAAAATGTGTAGGTGGTTTCCACACAGTAAATCTTAGACTGAATCTGCTACAAATATTTTATATAGAACTCTTTTTTTTTTTTCATCTCTGTAAGATTTCTGTGCTACAGGATAAATACTCAACAGTGCAATTACTGAGTCCCATAGTAGTTGCTTATTTAATTTTTAAAGAAACTGTCATGCTGTTTTCCAGAGTGGCTGTTTCATTTTATATTCCCTCTAGCAATATTTGAGAGATCTTGGTTCTTTATATTTTTTGTGAGCATTTGTTGTTATCACTGCTTTATTTTAGCTCCTCTGATAGGTGTGTAGTTCTCACTGTTTTTAATTTATATTTCCTGCATTGTTCATGACCCTGCACATATTTCCATGTTCTTATCTGCCCTCTGCATATCCTTTGAAAGAATGTCTGCTTGTAGGTCTGGACTACTTTCCAATTACAGTGTTTATTTCCTGTGGAATTTTGAGAATCTTAATATTCTAGATTCAACTCCTTTGTTAGATACAGGTTGACACATATTTTTTTCCTGTTTATAGCTTGTCTTCTTGCCATCTCCATATGCATATTTGGAAAAGTTTTTGTTATTAAAAAAAACCTTAGTGAATGCCAATTTATGCTGTTTTGTGCTTCGTTTAGGACTACTTTTGCTCTGCTGTGTGTTCAACTAAAACTTTATGGATCCATGATCTATTTTCAATCATTTTTTTAAAAAAAATAAACTATCCATTTTGAGTTTTTATTAGTATGTGTGCAAGATTTTAACTTGATTTAACTTGAGGTTTCTTTCTGTGAATGTCTATTTGTCATTATGCATGGAACAGTCTACCCTTCCACCAAATTGCTTTGCACCTTTAGCAAAATTAGGAGAATGGCTGGGTGTGTCTTGGTGACAGAGTGCCTTCCTCTTGGGACTGAGTCCTCGGCTCATCCCCTAGCACCGGAAAACAAAATGGCAGCTCCTATAGGTCTGTCCATTAGTTTCCCTTGGCTGTTTTATATAATTTCTAAAAACATAGTGTCCTAAAACAACATAGATTTGGTATTTACAGCTCTGTTGTCATAGCAATGGTTTTTACCAGGCTAAAATGAAGATGTTGGAAAGGTATCTACTTCTGACTTCTCTATCATAGAACCTATTTTCCTTGCCCCTTTGAAGTTCTAAATGCTGCTTGTTCCTTGGCTTGTGGTCTCATTCCATCTTTTAAGCCAGCACAACAGCATCACACATCTCTCACTTTGACACACTTTGTGTGTAGAAGAATCCTTTTCTTCATTTTGGGCCGAAAAGGACAATGCACAACACGTTTTTCACCTTGAAGGCCTCAACTCCAGCAAAGCTCTAAAGTCCCGTTTGCCCTGCAGTACACCTATAGGATGTGAGAAGTTGGGTCTGAGCAGGTACAGGAGGCTTGTTCTGCCTGTGACCATCTGGCTTTGTGCCAAATGAGACCTACGATGCCCAGTGGGACCACTGGGGCCAAATAAACCAGATCTGCACTTGGGGAACAGTAACTGAGTGAAGGGAAGCACGAGCAAAATTCTTAGCACCCCATTTTGAGATGTATTTGTCTCAATAGAGATTCAGCCAAACCATTGCAGGTATGTGTAGTACAATCTGGTGCAATTTGGGATCAGTTTTCTATTGTTAAGTAAAAAATGACTACAAATTCACTTTAAAACATTACTCAATTATCATCTGACCATTTCTTCAGAGGAGAACCACCATATTCACAGGTTCCACTTACACTCCAGAGAACTGAACAAAGATAGAAATAGGTGAAAGAATTATGAGGCCATTTCAAAATGCTGTCAATGACTTCATTTGCATAAAATGTATCTTGAAAGAAAGAGAGGCTGTATTCAGGACATAAACTTGAAGAGCATCAGCTTTTACAGGATAGTCAGAGAAAGAATTTTTCAGGGTGTTCAGTGTAGTAGAAGGAAATAAAACAAGAGCTTCACATGAGTACTAAGAAAGGGATCAATTCTTGGGAAGGGAAGTGGTCACCAGTGTTGTGTGCACCAAGTTTGAAAAGGAGGAACAGCAATGATTGGCCCAAGAGATGAGCATCTGAGACCTGGGCAAGGTCAATCCCCTCAAATCAATGACAGATACAAGAAAGTGCAGTAGAAACAAAGTACGGTGGTAATAATAGTGTTTGATGGTGGTTGGCATTTAACTTTGAAATGATTGTTTTAGTGATCCTTAAGAGTGTAAAAAAACATCCTACCTATTAAAATGCTTCTCATTCAACTCTTAAACTTGTAGCAGGTATGCCTGTAATTCCTGAGAGTTACAGGTACACATACTGAACAACATCACATTACTGTGAGCACTAAGAGGAAACACTTATTACACAAAGAGTGTTGCAAATACCTTAAATATGATTTAAAGCATAAAAACAAAATACATGGTACATCACTGTCAAAAAAGCTACGATTTCCTTAAAACATTAAGCTCGGATATCAGTGCCATTTTAATGAGATAATATCTACTTCTTTGACAGTTTGGAGTTATGTGATGTATGCCTTCAGATTGAGATTTAAAGAAAAATACTGCTTTGCTCACAGGTCTATTTTTCTCTCTTGTATCTAGCTACTTAAAGAATTTAAGGATGAAGATTGGAACATGGGCAATGTGGTATATACTCTGACAAATAGACGCCATCTTGAAAAGTGTATTGCTTATGCAGAGAGCCATGACCAGGTAAAGGAGTATGTGTATCAATTCACACCTCCCTCAGTCTATATTGCTCTCTCTCTCTTCCTACAAACATATCTAAGCACAAATTTCAATAGTTCTGTACACTTACTATAGTATATTTTGTGTGTATGAATGTCTTTATATGAAAACGTATACTTTAAGACATTTTAATTTTTTTAGATCAAGAAATTCCAGTTTCAAAATGGAGTATGGAGTATGTTTACTCTGCCACGCTATAAGTGCTAATTTGTACATTGCAGTTGCAAATGTTTTATATTTACCTTTGCTATCAAGTACTCAGTCTAACTTTGGTTTCGATCTCAGGTTTCCTGCTACTAGATTTTTTTCCTCCTATTTTTCTTCAGTTGTGAAAATGCTCACTGCTCCCCTTACAGCGTCATCCTCTCTTCTCTAACGCAGCTTGAAACTCTGTCCAAAGAGCGAGGCTCGTCCTACCCCAGACCTGATGGTTTCTGCTAGTTACTCAAGGTTACCTATCCTAGAGGAGGCCTGCTTCCCAGCCCCATGCTGACCCGTCCTCCTAAGGCTTCTGCTCTGTAGTACAGAGGCTGTCAAGCTACTTAAATCCATTTTAATCCTCATAAATATCAAAAATATAATAAGTTATATTGGGTAGATAAAAAGGAAGCAGTAAAAATATCCCTATTTAGAAAATGGAAAATGAAGAATTTCTCCATCATTTCAGCAGGAATTGGCCATTTCATTTAAACCTATATTTTTAGGTTTATACTCTAACATACATAACTAGAAACTGTTATATTAAAGCCCATCAGCCGAAAGCTGCGTGCTAGATGATTTATGAATAAAGTGATACTCATTCCTTTGGCACTGCTTTTGCTGCTGTGCTGGCAGATTTGCATGGTTGAGGTGGACAACAGGGCCCACAGCATCTAAAGCATTATTGTTTAGTCTTTCACAGAAATTTGCAAAAACAAAAAAAAAGAAAGAAAGAAAGAAAGAAAGAAAGAAAGAAAGAAAGAAAGAAAGAAAGAAATTTGCAGACCCCTCAAATAGGTGTGCTAAATTTTGCATCTTGCAGTTTGGGCAATGCTTTCTTAAATAGGTAGTACCCTGGACCATGGAGCAGATCAAGTAAGTATCAAATATCTAAAATGTACACTAGAGAAAAGAATAATACTGGTGTAAGTGGTGGGAGGCAAGGGGATGAGGAGTGGAAATCTCTCATCAAATATGTAGCCTAGTAAAAATTCAAATGCTTGCATAATTCATGCATTTCTATTGTAAACTGCCAGGGACTGCAGCACATTGTAAATTTCTAGTCTGTTTTATCCTATGAATAAATTAAAATTACACACCTGAGCAGAATAAACAAATTGAAGATGAACTGATATATTTCTTTCATAATTCACAGCCTAGTTGTAAAGAAAAAAAACTTGAGAAAAAATTTTTGTACCTTAAAAATTTAGTAATTTAATCTTATACATTGTCAAGATAACAAATTCTGGAGGGCTGTGGAGAAAAATGAACCCTTCTAGCCTGTTGGTGGGAGTACAGACTGGGTACAACTACTATGGAAATCAGTGTGGAGATTCCTTCAAAAGCTAGGATTAGAGACCCCATTCAAGCCAGCTATTCCCCTCCTGGATATTCTTCCAGAAGACTTAAAAACCTCGTATCACAGTGATATATGTGCATCCATATTTATATAGCAGTACAATCTGTCATCGCTAAATCCTGGAAACAACCCAGATGCTCACCATCTGAAGAATGGATAAAGAAGATGTGGTATTTTTACATAGTAGATGTGGTATTTTACACATTATTCAGGTATCAAACAGGATAAATTTGAGTCTTTTGTCAGTGAATGGATGAAACTAGAGAACATACTCTTAACTGAAACAAATAAGATTCACATGTGCAAACATCATATTGTCACCTTAGTCTGAGAACCTGAAAGAGAAAAATGGAATTTAAAGGGTACGGTAGATACTAGGAAAAGGCAATGAACGTATTCAAAAGGAAAGAGTTATTGAGTTGAGGATAAGAAAGGGAAGGGGGGGGGGAAGAGATTTATCTATGTAAGCGAACAGAATGGTTTGGACAACTGTACTGTGCATGATGTATGGAAAGGAGCAAATAACATAATATTTAATTTGTTTCTTCTCTTTTTTTCAATTGTTTATACTTGTTCTCTTAATTTCTTATATATTTCTTTTTTCTTTCAATTTTACATGTGTATATGAATAACTGGCATATGAATAACTATATGAATAACTGGTTGGAAGACAACACTATGTATTACAACAAATACTATAAACATATTACTTTGTTAAGTGAAATTTGGTGTCACTTGTAATTTTTCTGTTTTATTTCTAGTTTCTACTTTAAAAATATATATAGGAAGTGACATAAGTTGCCTCATTTAAAAAGCAAGTATTATCTGATCAAAACCTAAAAGTGTAAAATTCTCATTTATAAAATAGATAAGCACAGATAGATAAATCATAGCAGAATATTTTAAATATTTAAAAAGTATCTATTAAAAATTTTAGATAAATTCCTAACTTTAACAATTAAGTTCATGAAATAAATTTATGAATAAATTTATCCCCAATTTTGTTTGAAGTATTGGGGATTGAACTCAGTGATGCTCTCCCACTGAGCTACATTCCCAGATCCTCTGCTTTTCTTGAGTCAAAATCTCCCTAAATTTACTGAATTGTCCAGACAGGACTTGAACTTTGAATTTGAGATCCTCCTAACACAGCCTCCCAGAGTGCTGGTATTAAAAGCTATGTGTCTGTCTGTCTGTCTGTCTCACCTCCCTCCCCCTCCCCTTTCTCTCTCCCCTCCCCCTCTCCCCTTCCCCCTCTCCCTTCCTCCTCTCCCCTTCCCCTCTCCCCTTCCGCCCTCCCCCTCTGTCCTTCCCCCTTCCCCTCTCCTCCTCTCCATTCCCCAGCCCCTCTCCCCCCCATCCCTCTCCTCTCTCTCTGTCTTTCATATCAAGATTATGGCTCTTGGTGTAGTAGTTTGGGCTAACCTTGTATTTAAGACCCTCCCACCTCAGCCTCCAAAGGGCTGGGATTATGAAAGTGCATTGTGCCTGGCTTTATAATGGTAGTTTTTGAAAGTGATTTAATATGAAATAAATCTCATTTGTGAACAGTGCCAAAAGATGAGGGGAAAATTAATAGAATTAGACATTCAGAAGTGAACACAGAGCAGGGCATGGTGGCATATGGCTGCAATCACAGCATTCAGGAGGCAGAGTAGGCAGAGAGCCGAGTTCCAGACTAGCTCCAGCCAAGAGGTAAGTTCAAGGCCAGCCTGTAATACACAGCAAGGCTCTGTCTTGAAATGTCTTATGTGTCCTGTATATGTTTTGGCCCGTTAGTGTAGCTGTTAGTTTGTATTCATGATAATAAACTTGATCAGGACTTATAAATAAATCAGTCTGACAATGGCACAAAGAGTTTTTTAAATTGAGTGGAGAGAAAGGAAAATACAAACTGAGATATTATGTACATGTACCAATTCCCACAATGAATGTAACTATTATGTACTGCAAGCAAGTACTAATAGAAATAAATATTACGAAGAGTTAGTGCCATAGTACAGAGCTTTAAAGACGTCATCTTAATTAGAAAGGGGCAGGTCGTGACAGTGGAGCAGGCCGACGTGGGCTGACCCTCTCATCACTTGAGAAGCTGAGGCAAGAGGGCGGCAGGTTCCAGGCCTGCCTGGGCACTGTAACAAGTAGCAGAATAAAATGTGTTGGGTATCCATATAAAACCTAGTAGCAAGCTTCATTTCCAGTACTGGAAAATTTGTTTAAAATAAGTTAATGATGTCATTGACTATTATTTTTTCCTAAAAGTAGCAATAATTATAGTCGTATACGGAAATTGCAGATTAATTTTTATTCTACATTTTGCTGTATGCTATTGTTGTGCCAATGTTGAATAATTTGCATTAGTTGCCTATTTTTAGCCATGAATAATTCAGATTGTCAGAACGCCTCTCAGGGCATTTCTGAACTACCTGCCTCTATTATCTATTATCATTTTTCAATGAAACAGCCTGAAATTAGGATAAATAGCAAAAATAGTAAGAATGAGAAAGCAAATTTGTATTTTACAAAGATAGAAAACATAGGGCATGTAACTCCAGCATTGTAGAAAGCTGACATAGTAGGATAGCAAGTTCTAGCCCTGCAACTCAGTGACTTGGGACAACCTCTTTCAAAGTAAAGAGAAGAAAGGAGCTGCAAGTGTAGGTCCATGAGAAAAGCTTGTTCTTCCAGCCTGCTGTGCTGCCCACCCCCAACCCCTGGGCCGCGCTGAGACTGCTGCTTGGTGGTAGGGCACGCCTATAATCCCAGCACTTGGGGGGCTGAAAACAGGAGGCTCCTTAGGAGTCTGATCTACGTAGTGAGACCCTGTAGACTCTGACCTAAAATACAAGAAAAACAAAACAAAACCCTTAGCCTCAGTCTGCAGTAGGGCACATGGGCACTCGCGCACGCGTGGATAGACAAATACATACAGTTCTAGAAGCAAATGTGTTGGTCTCTATTCTTACCAGTTCATCATCAGCATAGAAAGTAACCATTAGAAAATGGATGAAATAATTATAATCCGTACCTCTTCTTGTTTCGCCAGTTAGGTTGTACTGTTCTGGTAGTAATTAGCTCTGTTTCACATATGTGGGTGATCTTCATTGACCTCAGCAACTTTTATTTCTTTAGGCGCTGGTTGGTGATAAGACATTGGCATTTTGGCTGATGGATGCTGAAATGTACACAAACATGAGTGTCCTAGCTCCTTTTACTCCAGTTATTGATCGCGGAATACAGCTTCATAAAATGATTCGCCTCATTACTCATGCGCTTGGTGGAGAAGGCTATCTCAATTTCATGGGTAAGTGTGGGTTAAACACATACCCTCTTTTTAAATGTTAACTAACACAAATGGCACAAATCATGTAGATTATTTTGACTTGTTTTTTCTAGTTTAAAATAGAAAATCATCTTTAGAACTAACTAATACACTATCATGTGTAAACTGCAGAATTAAAATTAAACTGCTGTAGGATTATTGTTATAGTAATAACATGCAAAAGCACACTCCAGAAGCTGGCATCTTATTGAATATTGCTGTAAAAATAATCTGAAATTATTATTATCCTGAATGTAATCATTCTGAGTTTTATTGTTATCATAGTCTAGATACAACATAAGACAATATGGTTGTCATATCATTATATACTAAGCAAACATTGATCCTCTTGGAGGTAATTTATACCAGAGTACTCTGTTGTACATATAAAAACCAAGATTTAGGGATATTGTGATGAGTAAACTTGTGTTTATAAATAGAAAAAAAGGTCAATTTGAAAGTCTGACAGATGTCAAGGGATATAACACAGTAATTACATGGTGTTTTTATTTGATTTGGTGAACAACAAACATTTTAACACTTGTGATTAAGAATATTTTACCCATCTTTAAGCTATTGAAAAGCAGAAAGATTGAAAAATATGTACAAAAGATCAACTTTTGTAGGCAATTTTTTGTATTTATTCATTTCTCGGTGGAAGTTTTAATAATGAAGTCTCAGATTGGATTTTTATGATCTTCTTGTTTACTTGCTATAAGTTAGAGGGAAAAAGTCAAGAATTCCTACCTTGGATGCCAGGAGCGCTAGCATTACCCTGGAGTAATCCCTCTCTTCTCAGAGTCATGCAAATTAATTAACATTCTTTCCTGCTAGAAAAATCCTCCTCCTCCCTGACCTGGGCTGCACCCAGGAGCCAGACCAAAGGCCAGGCTTCCTGGGCCTACTTTGCAGGCCTGGGATGCATAGCCAAGTTATCCTTAGTTCCTTATACCATCGGTCCCACTGAAAGGTAATTCTCCAGTATGACCATCTCCTAAACTAATGGTTTCACAATAACTTTGTTGAACTAAATCCTAATGTAAAGTTTGAGTCTCTGAGCCTATGCAAATAAGTTCATTGACCTATAAAAATAAGATGATTTGGTGGGGTGTTAGTGGCATATTTAAAATGATTTATGTCATTCATGAAAGTATAGTTTTTTTTT